CAAAGGAAATGCATTTGAGTTTTGAAAATGGAAATGGAAAATGACCTGGGGAGGAGGGGGGATGACTCAAGGGACTTACATGAAATGACAACACAGAGAGACCATGATAAAAAAAAATATAGAATTTTAAGATGATCAAGAGAAGAGTTATTATGACAGTGCATGTGAAGAATTTAAGTAAAGTAACTTTTTATAAGGGTGATTTGACTATTTGCTGGCTTCATCTACAGAAAGCCTTTTAAAATAAGCTTGGCAGCCAATGTACTTGGCTGATCTTGAGCATAAAGGTAGGATGGAGATAGAATTGAAACAAAAAAGGCACTCATATTCCAGGTGGTGTATTTCTAATAGAAGGCCAGCCACAAACAAAATGTGAAAGGATTTTTCCCACTTTTCGTCACCAACATTGACACTCTAGGACCTGAAACATTATTTAATAGTGCGAAGATTCAGTTCAGAGCTTTGAACTGAAGGTGATTCAACTGAATCTCTAAATTGAACTGAACTTCTAAATCAGATTACCTGTTCAGATCAGTCAATTGATTGCTTCCAAATCAGTCTTGTCAGTCTGATGGCCTTTTGCCCATGCACTGTAAATCCTTCTTCTAAACTGAAGCAACTTTCTGATTGACTTCGTCAAATGGATGATTTAGTTTGGCAATCTGAATCAAATTAATTGGAGATCCAAACTTAATTAGCAATATGAATCAGATCACTCTGCCAATTCAAATCAAATTCAGGATATAGACTGGATCTGACTCAATCCACACAACCCTATTATTTAGATGATAGACAACCTCCTAACTTCATTTTTAAAATCCTGTTTCAAATCCTGTTTTGAATCTCCTGGCTATTCCATTTTGCAGCTTTCCATTTCTTATTCATTTGCTGTGCGAAGAACCTTTCCCTTTGTTTCAAAAATATTATTAAACTATTTAATTGGAGGAAATCCCATTTTAATAAATATTATGAGAAGAAATATCTTCATTCTCCACCTACTCTTCCACCAATTGCATTTTTGATGGATTATATCCAAATTGCTGTCCAAAAAAATAAGCAAAATAAATCTGGCATTCTGTATAAAATAAATTCTTAATTAAAAAGACTGAAGTAGATCAATGAGACATTTTTTTCCTCTGAAAATGTGAAATTTTGGGAACACGTTTTGGTTCCTTATTTCAGAATCAACCTAAGCAAATCACAAAATATTCAGCTACCATGTACAGGTGAAACATAGTTGAAAAATATTAGAATTATGCTAATTATCCATATATTTAAGTTTTAAGGCCAGAAGGGACAGGATAATGTGAAAAGGGGGAAGCACTGAATGCAGAATGAGCAACAGAAGATCATTTTTTAGGAATAAAAAGAAGGTAGTGATATCAAATTTATTTGTCATATGCATTGAGAACTAAATTACTTTTTCAGAGGTAATTTGCTCCTATTCCCATGAAAAGCACTCTTTGGCATTCTTTGCTGAAATTCACTGAACCATTTACCTTTTGATAATTTGCTCAAGAAGACCTGAGCTACAAAATGTGTTGGGCAGAAATAAATTGTAATGTATATAAATGACTGGCAATATAAGGGTCTTATCAGCTACTTCACTATAAAAAGAGATTTAGGCTGGATTTAATCTCCCAAGAACTCAGGCAATTCCCAGGCTGCTTCACTGAAGGCAGAATTATTTTTCAGCACTAGGAACGGGAGTTACTATTTTCTTTTGGGGATTAATTACATTTACTGTACCATTGACTAAACAACAGTTGGGGGAGGGGGAAGCACACATGCAAGAGAACTGTAGTACATTCTGAGTACTGTAGTAGTACTCAGAAAAGAGGTGTTAAAACACCTTTGTGGATCTCAGCACAAGAAGCATTTTGTAGAAAAGAAAGAGCAGGCAAAGAGAAATGGTTGACATATTGAGAGCTGTTAGAACAAGAACATGGAGAATATAAGATGGAGTCAAAAGATCAATTGATTGCAGAAGGATTTAGTTTCCAATTATTTCCATATGTTCAGTTAAGAGATTTAAAGTAGACAAAAGAATGTTTGGAACTGAACAATACATGACAGAATTTGAAACTGAATTATGTGCAAATGATAAACATGTAATTGCTAAAATGTACCTCGGGTTACGAATTTAATCCGTTCCGTGACTCTGGTTGCAACCCAATTTGTTCGCAACCCGAAGCAAATTTTCCCA